AAAGTGGAAACTGAAGTCATTAAACTCAGATCTTTCCCTTTCTGGTACATATGTTTAATGCTATAAATTCCTCTGGAAGCATGCTCCAGCTGATTCCCATAACTTTTGACATCCATTTTTATTAGCATTCTGCTCAATAATCTAAAGTGTTTTCTTCTCTTTATATTTAAATTTTGTCTTTGTTTTTATAAAGGTTTCTTATGTTCAGGATCATTCTAAAGTAGGTTTCTTATATTTGGGATAGCTGGATTAAAAATAGACTCAATCTGAAATGGGTAACTGACAACTTACATTTAATTGTAATTATTAATATGGCTGTGTAAATCTACCATCTTAGTGTGTATTTGTTGGGAGCCGGCCACAGAGGCCCACTGAGCATTAGGGATCAGGAAGGGCCGTTGACTCCGAGACCACTAGGATGCGTTCAGGAGCTATTGACCCCATTTCCTCCCCCTTTCTACTCAGCACTAACCAGATTAAACTCCTGTGAGCTCAAAACATAAAAACTCTGAGACTGGGATGGACACAAGCTAACTTTAGAAGCTCATTGCTCCCATTCTTCCGCAAACTGCAGTTTTGGCTTTCACACAACTTATAATTCAAACTCGGGTCCCATCTAAGAGCCTTAGTATTGGTCACAGGCTTCTGGGACATGATCTTAGGATTTATTGAAGGTGTAAATTATAGAATATAGTTTTAGAAGACAGCCATTTTGTTGAAAGAATGCAGCTGGGTTACTTGCAGGTAGCCCACTGTGAACTTTGGACTGGGCCACATTCCAAACATTCTGGGATGGGCCACTTTCGTTTGTAAAGTAAATACTGAAGCTTCTATAGAATTGTTTAACTTGGCATAAATCAATCAGCTTAGGATGAAAAAAGGTTTATAGAATATGTCAGTCACAGATTAGGTTATCCTTTGTTATGGGATTTTAAGATTATCATATGAAAAGGGTTTAAAGGCAATCATTGATTAAGTTTTCATGGATTAAGGTTTCTGGTGGGTGGGGGATGCCTCTCCCACATCTGACTTTGTGTATAAAAGACCCGTTGTAATTCTAATAACACACATCACGTCTGCACTAGACTGGAGTCCAGTCTCTTTCTTTCTCTCTCTCTCTCTCTCACTTCTTCCCCCCAATCGCCGATGCCGGCTCCACCTTTGGGGTACCCTGAACCCAGCTGGAGCTAGTCTGCGGCAAGTGGTGCCCAATGTGGGGCCTCAAGGTAAGCTTTCTTTTTCGGGACGGATAGGGCCTCACCCAGGGTGCCGCGGACCCCTCTGTAGAGACAGGCAGAGCAAGGAAGGGTGGGCAGTTTAAGAGCCGTGACAGAATCATGGGCCAGAGTGAATCTAAAGAAAGGAACATGTCTACTAGTATTTTGAACATATTGTCCGATAGAGGAACCAATTGGCTTGCCTTTTGCATTTTGTATGCCTTAGCTTTATGGAATATTATCCAAGATGCTTTAAATCCACAGCACGATTTCTCTAAAATTCCGGTCAAAAATAAAGACACTCCCCTGCTGGCCATAGCCTCGGCACCTCCTTTAGATGATGAATTTTTCCCCAAGGAGGAAATGGAGTTGGAGGAGGAAGTGATTGGGCATCATAAGCGAAAAAATCCTGGTAATGTTGCCAAGGTACCTCCTCCCATACCCTTTACTAGAAATAAGGTGAAAACATCGAAATTCACACCTGGGTATGTGTCTCTGGCTAATGTAGGTATGTAGGGAGCCAGAAAAAAGGCAGAAGATGAGGGAGATTTTAGCTTGTCTTCTTGCTTTCCAGTAATTTATATGGAAGAAGGCACAGTAAACGAGGCACCTCATTGGGAGCCGCTACCATATAAATTGATTAAGGAACTTAAAGAGGCTTGTACTCAGTATGGTCCTAAGGCTCCTTATACTATTACTATTATGGAACAATTCGCCACTCGGTGGATGACACCACAAGATTGGCGACAACTTGCTAAAAGCTGTTTGTCAGGAGGAGCCTATTTACTATGGAAAACTGAATTTGAAGATCAGGTAAGGATCCAGAGGGCTGTTAACCAGCAGAGGGATCCAAATCAGTTTCATATTTCTAGCAATATGTTGTTAGGAAAAGGAATATATGAGTCAGTTGAGAGTCAACTAATCTTACCCAAGGAAATTACTAACTCCAGACCTCTAAAAGATTTATATATTCAGGGGGTTAAAATTAAAGGTCTGCTAGATACAGGGGCTGATGTTTCTTGTATTGCTGGGAAAGACTGGCCGTCTTCCTGGCCAACACAAGTAGCCCCATCAGGACTCATTGGTATTGGTCGAGCGCCCGCTGTAGCCACAAGTTCTCAAATCTTAAATTGGACAGATAATGAAACTTCAGGAACCTTTTGTCCCTACATCATTCCTTCCATCCCCATTACACTTTGGGGACATGATATTCTTGCTCAAATGGGCATGCTTCTGTATAGTCCAGATGACAAGGTGTCAGCGCAAATGCTACAAATAGGATGCGATCCCTTAAAGGGACTTGGAAGGAACAGACAGGGCATAAAAGGACCTGTTCAAGTTGTAGAGAGGAAAGACCGGTCTGGTATTGGCTAACCCAAAGACTGAGACGGGTGGCATGAATCCTGTTGAATCAAAGGAACAGACCGGAGAAAAATGTAAACAAAATAAGGGTTTTCACTTCCTCTGTCCTCTCCTATTCCTCCTACAACTCCAATTCCTGCCTTCCCTACTACACTTGTTTCTTGTAATCTGTTCTGTCTCTTCACCTTTATCTGGGAAGGAAGGGCAGGCGTCTACAGCCGTGGCGCCTAGCTCTGACTTTCAGTCTTTCTCTTTTACCTTCAGAGAAGGGGCAGGTGCCAAAGGCCACGGCACCTGACCCCAGCCTCCAGTCTTTCTCTTTTACCTTTGGAGAAGGGTTGGGTGCCAAAGGCCACGGCACCTAACCCCAACCTCCAGACTTCTCACCCCACCCCGTCTCTTCTCAAGGGGGTGGCTCGGAAAAAAGGATGTTAAAAATTCTTCTTTGTTGTCTTCTTATGATAAGTTTCTCTTAAGTTCAACTTTCCCAGACAGAAGTAAAGGAATCATATAAGTGAATCCTGTTAGCTAACTACAAAATAGGTGTTAATAAGCAGACTAGACTGGAAGGACACGTTCTTTTGGATGTATTTTATCTCTCAATAAGCATTGGCGCAAACTCCAAAAATTAGAAAAGGGCCCACAAACCCCTCAACTATAACTATTGGACACAGCCCTTAAAGTCTTTAACAACTGGGAGGAGAAAAGAATGCAGGACCAAAAACATAAGATAAATTTACTGCGTGTAGTCCAAGACATCGAGGTGGGAGAAGAGCTCACCATCTGCTACCTGGGTATGCTGATGACCAGTGAGGAGCGCCAGGAGCAGCTGAGGGACCAATAATGCTTTAAGTGTGACTGTATCCAATGCCAAACCCAGGACAAGGTGATCTGCAACTCTTTCACCATCTGTACTGCAGAGATGCAGGAAGTGGGTGTTGGCCTGTATCCTAGTATGTCTTTGCTCAATCACAGCTGTGACCCTAACTGTTCAATTGTGTTTAATGGACACCACCTCTCAGTGTACCTGCATGCCCCTTCAATGATATGGAAAAGGACTGGTCACTCATTCAGCGAGATACTGGCTTCCTGAAATGGAGAGACTGTGCTTATAACTCTAAGGTGGACTATACTGTACCTGGTGAAAGACTATATATTAGTGACTGGGGTTTTAATGGCTCTACGCTTGCTGCAACTAGAAGGCACTCCAGTGAATGGGTACCAGACAAGCCATTCAACCTCATTTGTGGAGAGCCCTCGCAGACCTTCAACCAGTCAGCCTGTCTAGGCCTGTTGGACAAACTCAGGAGTACCACATTAGGGATGCTTGCGGTTCTCTTACGTGTTTTTAGTATGAAATAAGTACTGAGCTGTTAAAATTGAGTATCATAGCAATGTTTATAAGGTGTCTTGTACTCGGTGTATTTTTAATTGTTTAATGCCTTTTATGAAGGTTTTGTTATTCTTGAGCAGCCATCTTATTTGATGATTCTTGTATAACTGTCATCTCGTTGGTATGATGCATATGGTTTACAGATATTGTATGAGGCTAATGCTCTTTTAGAAAGACAGAAAAGATTTTTGGCTACTTTTAATTTTAGGAGTTACAGCTTTAATAGCTACTTTTGAGCTGTAGCATCATCTAGGGAAGTTCATACAACTACGTTTGCTGTCTAACAACGTTTCTATTGCCATAGCTATTCAGGAAATCATAGACCAGAAGATGGAAAGTAAGGTTAGTGCTTTGGAGGAAGGAGTTTTAGTAGTAGGGCAAGAACTTGTGACCTTAAAAAAGAAATTGGCTCTCTAAGGTCACTCTGAGTTTAAATCTGTCCATACTTGGGACAAAGTAACTTGGAATTTGGAACCATTCAGACCTGAGTCTAGACCTTACTAAATTACATCAAGAAATTCAGGCATCATTTGCTAATCAAAAATCATTAATGTCTATACTCATCAATGTGGGAATTTGCGGAGCAGTGATTCTTTCGTTGCTGTGTTTACTCCCAATCATCTTCAAAGTGCTAAAGAAGAGCAATACGGAGTTTCATGGTTTCGTGCTAAAAAATAAAAAAGGGGGAGATGTTGGGAGCCGGCCACGGAGGCCCACTGAGCGTTAGGGATGTATTTTTTATTTGTCCCAGCTATTCCTTGTTCCCTTATTTTTCTGTCTTCTTTTAGATTTTTTTTTTATGGCTACAGCTGACTGCCTCTGTTGGCTTTCTAGTTACCTATTAACTGCTTTTCTTCCTGTGGTTGCTTGAGTGTCAGAGTACACATCCTCATCAGTTTGCTTTCAAGTCATATTATACTGCACCACAGTTAGTTGAGAAGCCTTAAGGCAGCATACTCTCATCCCCATCCTCCCAATCTTGATACTGATAGATCACTTCACACGTTAGCCACGCAAGGCCTTATGAGTTTCTGCTATAAACAATTTATTACCTTTTAAAGAAAATCCAAAATAAGAAAAGCTGTCTTTCACATATGCTCACCATGTGCCTTTCTGGCACTCTTCATTCCTTGACGTAGGTGCAGGCTTCTGTCTAATATCACTTCCTCCCACCAAAGGCTTCTTGAACACTTACTGTAGACAAGTCTGCACGTAGTGAACTCTTTCAGCATTTCCGGGTCATGTTTGTTTTTGGAAAACATTTTCGCTGTTCTTTTGGTACTTTAAAGATACTGCTCCCCTGTCTGGCACACTCATCTTTGTCCTTCTGTTTCTTTTCTCTCTCGCTACCTTCAACAATTCTCCTTTGTTGCTGGTTTTAAGGAATTTGAATATGATGCATCTTGCTATAGTTTTCGTATTATTTCTTCTCTTTGGTGATCACTGAATTTCTTATATTTTACTTTTTTCCTCTCTCAGGGATCAGTGTCTTGTGTCTCCTCATGTACAATATCTGACAACTGTTTCACATATTTTATCTCTTTTCAAGTTTTCAGGTGGGAAAGTAAGTCCAATCTCTATTATGCCATTTTGCCAGAAACAAAATTTTAATTTCAAGTTTCCTGGTTTTTGCACATAAAATTTTATTTTTTGTACTTACTTAGCTTTTAAATTCTACGACAAAAAGATTTTATCTACACATATAACACTGCTAAAAAATTTTTATTTATCCCATCTCTTTTAATACACATTATGTGCATTTATTTTTTAAAAGGCAATAGGAAAATATTATTAAATTTAAATACAGAATACAGGTAAAATGTACTAATATTTATGTGCTCTAAACCTGTTTGATAGAGATATAAAATGAAACTTGTTACAAGTCATAATGCTTTCATAACCTGTCAGGAAAAGATCACATTAACACTCCTATATGTTTCAATACAGATGTATTTTATAAGCCACACTGAGGAAAAGTAATAGTCCTGTTTTTATTTTTGGAAATAATTATTAGTAAGTTTACAATTATGAAGTATAACCTTAAAAATTTCCATCACTTTGGAAAACCATAATGTTAATAAACTAAGCTGGTTGTTTGTTTTTAAATTTTAGCAAATATATTCATCTCTGAAGTCAAAACGGGGCAGGAGAGCTACATACAAGACACACAGTATAGGTCTTTGGGACAAGTAACAGGAAGGCAGACAAGGCAGGAGCCCTCCTAATCTTATTCCACCAAAACTGTGGATCACAGCAGGTAGATGTGTACATCCACCTATTGCCAAGGAGGTGTAAACTCTTTTAACAATTAACCTTTGAAACAACTTTATGATAAGGCCAATCATGAAATATGCACAGCAAAGAATTAGACAAAAGCAATGATACAAACCACACACACACAAAAATCCATACTTCTCACTTGAAAGAAAATGGCAATAATACTGTAATATCTAGTGTCTAAGATGACTGTAAGTTGAGTCGTGCTGATTGAAACTCTACAGTGTAATTTTGCATGTTATTAATTCATGAGATAATCAGCAGATATAAAGCTCTTGTTCAGTCCCATAAACCTTAAAAAGTTTTCATAGGTAAATTAGCTAAAAAACGTCACCCAAGAGTAGAGATTTGTCAGAAGTACAATGTACAATATAGTAACACAAATGCAAAAGATATCATGTAATTTGTGCAATTCAAAATTCCAAAAGTTGTCTTATAAAAATAAACAAGTAATAAATAATAGTCATACTTGACTTCATCAAGTTAACAAAGTAACTACTAGCCAACCCTGTGTTTTATTAGTCTATGGCTTAGAAATACCAATTGTCATTTTAAAGTTACTTTTTCCATAGAAATAGAAGGCATATCAAACTCTTTAAACCTCAACTACTCTCAAAAAATTTGGAAGGTAATTTGTCAATCAAAAATATATGTGAAAAAAAGGTGATTAAAAAACATTACCTATTTTTATGCACAATTTTCTTCTCTTATGACAAAGGGCACTTAGTGTATAGCTAAAGCTTTCAGAAAATAGATTCTGATGACTTCCTGTTCGGTAGATGACATACTGTACCGTTTCTTAATATAAAAATATAAATTTTTTAATAGTCAGAGATGAAATGGCTGGTGTAAAATCCCATCACCCTTTTACCTGAAAACAAACTTTTTCCCCCAGAAGCCATGAAAACAACAGATTCTATGTAGTTCTGTGCTGCCAGAAAATCCCCAATTACAAACAGTAGGGTATTCACGGAAATTTCAAAAGTGGGCCCGTAGTCTTTTGTTTTCTTCTCGTAATCTTTCAATTTCAGCCACTAAACCTTCATTCACTGAGTATCTTTCCAGCAAAGAGTGCATTTCATTCTAGAAAATGGGAAAAATGCTTATTAAAGTTATTGACATTCCACATTTTTCTGGCAAGCTATGCTTTACATACTTTCAGCTATCATTCCTCTCATGTTCAACTAGCTGAATGATATTTCTTGTGTTTAACCACTCTTACTACTTTGTTAACATTAGCAAAAGATCATTGGTGAAATTAATATATTTGGAAGATTTTATGTGCACATTTAGGAAGCTTTTTGATTACTTCTTGAAAAAAAATAAGCTGTGGAAAAAGGAGTTTCAACCACCACAGGTTAAAAAGGAGGTGACAAGTTAAAATCAACTTTACTAATAAAATTTTAGGACTCCCTATTTATCTCCATAACTAGAAATAACATCTAAGTAAAAACATATTGCCTTCAATGAATTCTTTAGGTCCACACAATGATACATCTAATTCTAACATAATTCGCCATACATACCAGTTGCATATGAAACTGTTTAATCATCTCCACTTGCAAATTCACAATATCCCTGTGACATGCTTCTCTGGGAAGAATGTAAAAAACTTGTTAGAATAACAGTTTAACCGCTTCTAAATGATTCAAGAAACTGACTAATTTTTTCATTGTTTCTAATTATTGGATGTTAATAATTATGATAATAAAAATACCAATGCACCTAGGTATTATTTGTTATACTTTACTATGTGCTGGGTACTATTTCTTATACTTTAGATGTAAGAACTTATTAAACATTCACGATTAGATACAATTATTTCCTCCACTTTACCAATGAGTAACTGAGCCACGGAGTGGCTTTGACTAGTTTAGAGACACTCAGCGAGCGAGTGCTGGAGCTGGGATGTCAGCCAAGACTATCCACCCCCAGAACTCTTTCTACCACATTCGTATACAAAGAGATTATCATTAAGGCACAAACTTAAATCACAGTCACATACAGAAAACACACTGGCTTAAAGATCACTGGTATTCATATGACAGCTCATAAAAACAACGCTTTCAGTAGCATAGCTATCTGGGTGTTCATAACATGGCTTGCTCAATAAAACACAATTAATTATGCCTACAAAATAATATGCAAGAACAGTGAAGCACAATAATAGAAGAACACTCAGTAACCCTCCAACAGCAGAGGCAGATGCTACCAATCACAGACGCTCCTGTGTGCCCCTGTCTGGCTCCATCACTTAGCTCTTGAGGGAAGCCCAAGGAAGAAGTCACTGCTCTCCTGAAGTCTGATGAGCCAAGAAACGCTGCTTCTTTTTTAACACACTGGTAGGTTGTATTATCTGCCGTCAGTGTGTTTTAATTGAGCCTGCTTTTGAGCGTAACAAAAACAGTACCGTGCGCTGCGCAGTCAGCTTACACTTCAGGAAGAATTCAACATTATGTTTTCAAGAGTCACGTTTTATGTGTATGTAATTCATTGGTTTGTACTGGCATTTTCCTGTTAGTTAATATCCCATTTTCCTGTACCCATTTTCCTGTTAGTTAATATCCAGATTCTTTTCCAGTTTTTATTATAACAGTGCTGATACAAACAATATGTGCATGCCTCCCACCCCGTATGTGCCCATGTCCGTAGAGGATACATCCAGGTATAACTCGGAGGTACACTTGTTCCATTCCAGCCTCCAAGAAAGTCTGTGCTCACTCACCTCCTGCTCCCCACAGGCCATCACTGAATGCTTACAAAAACACAGGGACAGGCTCAGCGGGAGGGGAGAGACCCTGAAGGCACAGATGCCCATGACCTGGTGAGGACCTGGGGCACGGGGACCTGATCACAAGCCGAGACACTCCAGCCCCCCGAGGGAAGATGCAGCTGCTGGGTGGCCAAGGACGAAGGGCTGAGGGCCCTCAGCCCTCTTCTATCCTGCCAGTGACAGGCTCAGAGGGCGGGGGAAGTGAACCTACAGAAACCCTCAACCGCTGTCTTTGTGTGTCCCAGGCAGAGGCTACCGATGGTGGAAGGAGGAAGAGGGGCTGAGAGGAGCCCCTGCCCAGGGGCGGCCTGCAGGCACGGGAAGGCTGGGCGGGTCACAGAACCTAGAAATCTCTCCTCAGTGCTGGAGGCCTTCACCACACATCCTGCGGCAGCCCCTAGGGCTGGAGGCGCCAATGCGCCTCTCCTGGGCACAGAAAGCCAGAATGAGAACGCCAGCCTCTGCAGCCCTGCAAAGCACAGGATGTCAGGGGTGTCCGGCACTCAGATCCCCAGGCTTGATGCAGACGGTCCTTGGCCCACCACCCTCGCATCAGCTGGGGTCAGCGGTGACACACTTGGGAGTCTGCTGAAGACGTGGACAATACATGGACAGCACCCAGGACCCCGAGCTCAGCACTTGGATGCTTCCCACGCCTGCGGGAGTGGCCTCGTCTTCTCTAAGTGCCTCCGCCGCACGTGTTCCAGAAAGTACAACCACATCTCTGCTCGTGCTGCCCCACACTCCCGTGTACAGCCACATCCCTTCAGTGGCACCTTTCTAGAGCAGCCCCCACAGAATGCTCCCCATCTGCTCCGGCATCACTCTGTTCACGTTATAGTTAGTGCTTCGGATGCCTCTGCTGTTATGCCACAAATATGACATAAACATGCCTGAAAAAAATCTCACACTTTAAAACTGCAGATCAAAAATAACAGAGTTTAGGAGGAAAGGATTAGAGGAGCCCACTCAAAACCCATTCAAATTTGTAAACCAGAGCACTAACAGAAACAATGAAATCCTAATAAAAAATGTCAGCAGAGTAAAAAAAACATAGTAAAAGTCTAACCTAATAGACAAATGCTGCAAAATAAAAAACTTTACCTCTAAAAAGTGAGGGTCGCTCAACAAAAGGGGATGGAAAACAGGCAGCAGGATGGGGGCTACCAGGCGGCAGAGGCAAGGCCAAGTGCCCAGGAGACGGGGATCACAGAGCAAGCAGCTCTCAGAGCACACGGTAGGGCAGCAGAAGGAGGCAGCTGGAGGGACCCTGGAGGGGTGGCTGCACCCAGCCGGCTCACAGGCCACGGCGTTGGTGCTGTGACATGGACAGAGTGTCCCCATCATAGTGCAGCACCACTCTGTTTACCAATCACAAGGGAATTAAGTCACACTGAGGAGCTCCCATCACAGCAGGATGCACTACACCTATGCCAACGAAACCACAAGGCCGTTGTGGGCAGGCCACTCCATTTTGTATCCTCGGTATCTGGTACATATACCAGGCACAGTGAATGCCAAAATGATCACTTTTCTTTAAAAAGTATGTTTTAAGATTGAAAAAAAAATTTTTAGACATGAAAAAGAAACATGCACCAACAAAAACTGCATCTTCTCCAACATTTTTGCTCGTGATAATCCAAATCTGAGCGAGAATATTAATTAAAGGGTAGAAAGGAAAAAACTCTAAAGATTCTAACAATTCTAATTTTAATAATTCTAATATTAAAAGATTCCAAAATACTGAGACAATAAGAGAGAGCACATCCTATAACACATTTTCACAACTTTCAAAATTAGAAGGTGGAGAAAGATAAGGACAGATCCAGGAAAGACTTCTTTTTAGATTAAGTATTACATCCTGTTGCATTCTATTTGAAAACATTCAGAATTACTCTTTAAAATATCTTCCTCTAGTACATTATTGAACATAGCATCCTTATCAAGTGATCTACACATAAAGCATGTAAGAACTCCATTTGAGTGACCAGAATCTGTCTTCCAATAACAAAAGAGTCCACAAGGCCGTCCGCCTGGAGCCTGCCCTGCCGAGTTAGCTCATTAATAACTGTACTGGGCAGATAGGCCTTCTCCTGGCAGATGGTCAAGAAGTACAGTACAACAAGAGCAACAAAACCTAGACAGAAGTAGTCACCACACCACCACCATTACCTATAGTTCTGGTTTCACATCTAGGTTCAAAAAAAAAAGGGTCTGCATCACTACCTGAAGTCCTCCAGTGTTTCCTGTATCATGTTCTGAATGAAGCGGATCTGAATGGATGTCAAGGGCGCACTGGACCAGGTGTTTCCAATGGTATCAGCTATTTTTTCTGAGAGTGAACTGGCAACTCCAGCTGTGACAGAGGATGCTATCTTTGGATCTAAAATAAAGAAGAAAGAAAATATTAATAGTCAGCTTGGAATAAGAGACATCAAACATTTCTAAATAAAATTTGGCATGAGGAAACTTGAAAAATTGGCAAAGAACAGTGTTCCTATGACATTTAGAAGAATGTACTGTCTGGAAAACGAATCTTGGAAACTTTCTACAACATTATTTCTAATATCCACTCATCTATATATATAAACTGCCAACTGTCTAATACAGTAACATATGACAGAGGGATTGATCTTGAAGAATCTCTGAACCATTTCCTCTCATAAAAGATGAATGTGACAAGTTGCACCACAAATGAGATAAACCAAGACTTTTAACAATAAATGGAAGGAATGCAGGAGCAAAGTCATGCCCCAGAAAAGCTCTGGGGTTTAATATAATGCAATATAGCCACAGAAGCCTTAAAGCAAAACAGAGACATCTATATGAAAGAGTTGTTGCTTTGTATCTCTGCATAGATAACTCACAGCTAAACCTAACATTCCTTTAAATGTGGCCAAGTGTTCATGGGCCAGTGGCATGAACTCTAAGAATAAGACTTTATCATGAAAAAGAAAAAAAAGAGACTTAAATTTCAGGTAGTTAATTAGCCCTTTTCAAAAGGTCCTATATAATAATTCCACCTATACCACATTAAATTAAGACACACACTAGACTGAAAATGAAATTCACACCAAGAAGATCAAGTCAATATAGCTGAATTTCACCATGCGCGTACATTTCATTGCCTTCTAATAAGAGTCACACTAGAGAAGTGTCCATCAACTTTAAACTCCTTGAACATTTTTAGTCTATAATCACTCTGCTTCTCCTTTTCAAGTTAAGTAATTGGAAGGACTTTTCAACTGAACACTATCAAACATTAGGAAGTCTCATACACTGACCTGGAGTTGAGGACCCATTGATTGGGGGTTCACATATAAACTGGGCTTCAGTGTCTTTCTCCAGCTTTTCAAGTTTCTCAGAATTTCTTGTTTGGTTAGATGATGGAGAGGTATTTAGAGTTCCAGTTTCAGCACCGGAGGTGATCAACTTTGCAAACTTTACGTTTAAAATAAACAATTACTTTAATATACAATATTTTGTTTTGCTTGTATTCACATATAATTTTTGCCTACTTCTCTTTTTCCCCAGTATGTAGAGTCAAGGAAGTGAGGGAAGAAGAGAAAGGGATGGGGAAGAACAAAACTACGAAAGTTAGCAACAAATTAACGTTTACTAATCAAAAGCAACCTCCACAAAACAAGGTGAGGAAAAGGCCCTTCACTAAGCATCCAATTCTGAGTATCATTTAAGATGGAAACTGCTGGGAAAATAATTGCCAAATTCTCATGTGGTAGGCAGAAATATTTGTAAAATGAACCAAAAGACATTTTTGTACTTCTTAAATGGTATCTTTTCAATGTCATTCTAAACAAAAAATATGAAAATACAGACACACTGTACACCTGACTGACTTGGCCTTCCTGGTAATAGTTGATCACTCTGAAACTTACATGAGAAATTAAATTCTATGTTGCATTTTAGCCCAAAGCAAGAACAATGAATTCCATTCTCAGCACCATCAGTTTGCTCTAAGACCTAGAGTTAATGATTTGACCACCAACCTGGTGGTTTACGTGGTAATAAAAACAAATTTTTAAAGGATTCAGGGATAAGGTATTTTTGCACAGAGATGTATTAGTATCGCATCTTAGAAAACCAGTACAGGTTTACATCTCCTGTTACCGTCAACATATTCAAAGCTAGCTTTCAAAAGTTTTCGTTAGCTATTAAAAAATGACACCGAGAACTGTGGCCCTCTTTCTACCTAGCAGGGTAAAGCACTGAACATAACTCAGGTGTGTCCATGGCAGCTGCCACCTTCCAGCGACCAATACACACCGCGAGCTCAGGGTGATGTTCTGGCAGATACCTGTTTAAAGGTGTCTCTAGGGTCCTGTCTTCCCAGACACACTTTCTTAGACTCAGCTGTCAGGTCACGATTTTCATTTTCTTCTTTCCCTGGAGACCCCACAAAGACATGAAGAGGGCTAGAATGCAATACTGGAGTACTTGAAGTCACTGGATTTTTTCTTGGAGGAAACACGGAGTTCAGCTGCGGAAGAAAGTCAAGGCCTGAAAAAGAAAAAAACACTGCATTTGCAGATGATGTCCTCCAACCCGGCTACTGAAGAAAAGCGCTTCACGTGACAGGCAGAGCAACACGGCAGGAGACATGGGATCTGAATTCACAAGACAGATTCTCTCTCAGCAATACACGGACCCTACAGGAAGTGCATTCTGGGGCCAAAACCTCAGCACTCTGTGACTGTTTCCTGATCTGCAAAGGTGGATGATGATACCCATCGACCAGAGTGCCTGCAGCCTTCAAGAAATCATGGTGAAAATAATTTGAAAACTGCAAACACGGCAAATGCTCTGGACGGTGTTAGTGTTTGACGACCGAAGAGTGTTAGTCTGGTGCACACCTGTGACATGTGTCTTGGAAGGCAGGCCCTGAGGTGGTTCCCAAGGCTTCCTGCCTCTGGCGCTGCTGCCCCTGGGCAATCCCCTCCCTCTGAATGTGGCTTACACCTAGCAGCTTGCTTCTGACCAAGTCAGTGTGACAAAGCGGTAAGATGTCACTTCCAAGATGAGGCTGCAAAAACCGTGGCGTCCATCTCAGACACCTTCTCTCTCTCACCTCCCTGCTCCGAGGGGAGCAGCTGCCACGTTGTTAGCTGCCCTTGGAGAGGCGCAACTGGCACGGAGCAGGTCTTTGCAGCCAACGGTCCTTGTCCAGTCGGGCCGCGAGAGGAACGCAGCTCTGGTGGACAACCTGACTGAGGTTTCAAGAGGGACTTGAAGCCAAAAGCACCTAGCCAATCACACTCTCGTCCTCAGCCCACAGATGTGACGAGATGACACATGCCTGCGTTTGGAAGCCTAAAGGATGGCGGGGCTTTGCCACACAGCAGTCGGTAACCCAACAGGCCTCCCCATTTTCAGGCAAGCCCTCCTAAGTAGCTCTTACCATCGTCTCCTCTGCCTGTGGACTCATCGCCTCCCTTGTGGACCTCCGCATCTGTGACAAGGTTAGAAATCAAGTTTACAGACAGTGAAAAAGAAGCCATGCCAATCCAGGCCCCCTGATCATTCAGAGGCAGTGAACTTAAGAAACAAACAAGAGTGGAGTCAAAGGCTAAAGCCAGCAGTCTTCATTTAAACTTCCCTTTGCACCCTTTCAGCTTCGTGCACAGCAGCAAGTATGACAAGATAGTTCACAGTAGAGAGGCCTCCAACGAGGGGCAAGGACACTAAGACAAAGTAGGTATTAGGGTCTGTGATCGCTTCTGCCTGTACCACTCAGCGGTGCTGAGATGTTGGACAGACCTCAAATGCAGTCCAGCTTTGGTTACTACAACTACAGAATGGAGACAATGCCTGATAATCTCACAAGCTCGTTTGAGGAATCAATTAAACGAATGTAAAAATATTCTGTAAGCAGTACAATGCTATAAAAATGTGGTTCTATTAACATTTATTTCAACGGTAGAATGTGCATCAGGCTATTTTAATACTGCAATATTCATTGCCAATTCACAACAATCATTTAACTCAACTTTAACAGATTAATAGACTGGGCAAAAAGATATTAACAAATTCACCAGAAATTTGATAAGCACACATAATTATCTTCTTAGTAGAAATATCATCCATCTATCCATCCATGAGTATGTGTGTTCATAAAAGTAGTAGCTACACAGCATGTGCACATACACTTAAGAAGTTATTAATTTCTTCTCAATAAAAGCAGGCATATTCTTACTTTTTCTTTCCTTTTTTTTAGACTGGAAAATATAGTTTATTTAGAAATTAGAGAGAGAAGGGTAGGGGGCCAAAGCTATGAAAACATGGTGGCCACAGCTGAAAGAGCCACGTGGTCAGTCCGGAGTTCAGTAAAGCAATGGCCTCTACTTTTTTTCTTATTAACAATGTGAAACACTAATGAATCTGGAGAGCATAAGCCTCAAATTTTCATCACATTTTGAAAAACAGAAAAAGCAATTTAAAAACAAGTAACATATTTTATTCATGTATCTTAAAAACTCTTGAAGAGAATGTAATGTATAACTCAAACACTTCTAAAACATCCCTTCCTACACTCTTCAGTGGGAAAGCTGTGCCAGCGGACCTCCCGGGCCAGAGCCCCCTGACGATTCCACCCCGGGGGCCTCTCTACCCCGGGGGCCTCTCTACCCCGGGGGCCTCTCCATGGCAGCCCAGTCAAGCCTCTCTACAGCAGCCTCCACTCGGCTCATCGGGCCACCCTGTCAGCCCCTCATTCGCCAACTGTGCAGCCTGCCTTCCCTTCATCCCGAGTGAAGAATGCTGCCATCAGTGGGTGGGAGAAGGAGGAGTCCGACCTCGCAGTTTAGGGAAGGTGGGACATGAGCAGCCCTGTACCACCACGTGTGTTTATTCCTTCCAACGATAAAGTCGACTGCAGAAATGTGCACGAGAGACCACGTTAGGGCGAAAGACGAAGCAGCACAAGATCGTGGTGGGACACCAAACCTGCCACACCCTGCAGCTGCTGCTGCTTGCTGTTTCTCTCTAGTGGCCACAATTGTATGAAAACCGACAAATAAACACACCTGGGTGGGCTTCTCAGAATCTTTTCTGAGATAAATTTGGGGAAATGGAATGCCAAGGCCAAAAAGGAATACTATTTTAACTCTGTCAAACTGCCCTCTAGAAATTGACCCATATTACTGAGATTGCTGAGACTATCCCATTAAGAGAAACATTGTAACGTTATATTTGCACCAAAAAGCACAGCTAAACAATATACCTAGTCCATATACTATGAACAATGACATCCAATGGCTCCATTGATCAAGCATATTATTTTTCATAACAACAAATTTTTGTGGGATGGGGAGATGTATACACACACACAAACACACATATATGGTGCTTTATACATACTCAGGATAAAAGATGGACAATCTACCACACAGCCTTATTTCTCCAGGAAAACATTTAATGAATACCAAGTGAACACTAATAATCAACAAATTTTTTTTAAATTAGGAAGATATTTTTTATATATCAAAGCATTCACAATTTTAGGAAGATTCATTTAGAAGTAGAAACAATGGAAAGATTACCTATAAAGGCAAAATTTCCCTTAAGAAACTCCTGTAGAAATTAGCATACTCACTTGAGACCTATTTCATAATTCCCATGTGAAAACTACCAGCATATATTTTAGAATGATAACAATTAAGATATCAGAACAAAGAAAAAGATACCACCCCAGAGATTGAGAAAATTAGCAACCTGCCATGAATAGAGCTTGACTGAAGCGATTACCCACATCTCCTAGCCAGAATAAAACTCTAATGACTACCAGCGCGAGAACGTGATCCTACAAACAGACTTACCATCTCTGATAGGTGAGAACATGTCACCTAAACTACTTGTCTTAGTATCATCAAGGCTGGAGAAATCCTGAGTTTTTCCACTGTCTGTTTCCTTAGATAAAATATCAGTGTTTATGCTTCGAGGCAAACCTTATAGGATTAGATATAAAAATCAATGTTATTACATCTAAATAAAAATCTTTATCAGAAGCTAGCTTGCAAAAATTAATGCATTACCCATACTGTTGGTCACAGTGCAATGTGAGCATCAGGAAAATAAAACAGAACATGACAGGAGCAAAAGTTAGCCAGGATTTTCATGGACTCAAGTTTTCCTCAAAAGCAAATTAACTTGTTTGTTTACACAGCAGCACCTTAGTTTAGCCATTGTGATGAGGCACTTTTCTAAAATAATTTATGTCCTTGGCTGTCTCTCAAAGTATATGGAACACAACCACTTACTTTTGCCATCAGCTCACTCCTAAGACCATGTCTCCATACCTGAGAACAACATACAGCAGGCTAAGTAGTGCTGGCACCCTCCCCAGCGAGCAGTGAATGGTTTCTGTCTTTTCTGTTACCATGTGGCTGTCAGCATCAGAGGCTTCGGGCAACTCCTGCCCACTGTTCACCAAGAGGAAGAAAAACCCATAAAGAAAAGCATGGCAGACCCCAGCAGCAGGCAGCAGTGGTGGCTGCGGCTGGTAGAGTACAGACCGTGGCTGAGATGGGCCTTTTGGGTGGAACTCTGCAGGCTCAGAAGCTTCCTGCTCGTTCCTGGAGGAAGGGCTAAGTCCCATATCGGGAAGCTCTGGGACGACAGCCTGGCATCTGGGCTGGTGGCACATTAATGCACGACATGTTAAAGGCGTTTTATGTGGCATCCCCGTCCCTGATGAAAGCTGAAAAGTCTGAGATGAAAACAAAGAACGGCCTGTGCTGTATGCCCAGACTGCCCAAGAACAGCTAATAAAATAAGCTTTTCTAACAAGAGTTGCGATCAGGGTAAAATGTTACCAACTCATAACTACTACTTTTGAAGCGTGTTTATAGCAAGGGACAAGCTGATATTAAGAAGAAATCTGTCTCCTTTTTTCTAGGTCCATAACATGTTTGAGTGCATAACTGACCTCTGCAACTTTAGGAAACAGAAGTTAGGTATCATCTGAAGACAGTGCTGGCTGAAGTCGTTCTTTTTATTTCATAAATAGCTGCTTTCTACTAAATATGAGCACCGGCCACATGTCTAGAGACATTCTCTCTCTCTCTTTTTTGGTTTATCGTAGAAATGAAGTCTCACCAAGTTGCCCAGGCTGGTCTTGAACCCCTGGGCTCAGGCAATCCTCTCACCTCTGCCTCCCAAAGTACCGGGATTGCAGGCATAAGCCACCACGCCTGGCCAGACATTCTTTTAAATAACTAAACCAGGACACCTTCAACACAAGCAGCAGACTTTTCTTCAAACTTTAGATTCATTTCACACAAAACTTGAAGTAAGAAGAGTAGCAGCAACGATCACAGTCATGACATCAACTAGGAGGGTGTCAACACTGCAACTGACCAGGTACTTCTGATACATTCTCTTCAGTTTCACGATAAAAGTCCGTCATCTGAGTGTATGGAGGAAAACATGAGACTCAGAGAGGTTGAGGAAGTTGCCTAAAGCCATCCTGGCAGGAAGCAACAGACCTGAGACTAGGTCTAAGGATGTTCAATGTGCGGGGGAGCGGGGAGGGGCGGGGCGGGGAGGAGGGGGAGAGAGAGTATTTGAGAGAAAGAAGATGAAGTAAATGTGGCGAAACTTACAAGTGGCAAATCTGCTAAAGGGTAAAGCTCAGGAGAGCTTGGTGTTGTTCTCCAAGCTTTTCTCTATGTGGGCAATTGTTTCAAAATAAAACTGATAAGCAAAAATCACCATTTGCGGGGACACAGCAAACATTCATTCCGCCAGAAATTCTGAGAACCCACAAGAGTTGTCCATGAGCCAGCCGACTCAAGTCTTGGACTTCTAAGCTAATGTTGTCATCGTTAAACAAGAGCCTCCTATGAAAAACTCAGTGAGTAAAGGGGAGACTTCGGAGAGGAGGGACCTTAGAGTAAAGGACAGAATTTGCATTTTGTTTAATTTTTGAAAACTATGAATAAAAATAATAGCTATACGATAATTTTTGAAAATAACAGCAGTTTTCATGATACAGTTAATTCAACCTCTTGGCAGACGTTACTCAAAGTTATATTTCAAAAAGAATTTCTTCTTTAGGTAGATATCAATGGTCTTTGTCTACAGAAATTCTTAAATATGGACCTAATTATTTTTCTGTATATAATGACTCACATAAGGATGATATAGACATTCACAGGAAATTTATAGTAAATATATTATTTTAAAAAAACCAAATTATTCCACACTATAAAGGTCAACACATTAACATTAAAGTTTTGCTCCTATGTGGAAATAGTGAAATCATACTGAGAAGACACAAATATTTTTGCAAGCACTTGTCCTGTAAATTTTAGAAGACATGGATACTTGTATTTATGAGTACAATATTTTGGAAACCTACTGATACGCCATGTTGCCTTTTAAAAAAATCCGTTGCAAGTTGACAGTACAGCATAACTTCTCAAAAACAAAAGGTTTTCAGGCCAGGTTCAGTGGGTCAGCCTGTAATCCCAGTACTTTCGGAGGCCAAGGACAAAGAGATTGCCTGAGACTGTGGGTTTAAGACCAGCCTGGGCAACTTGGCGAGACCTCGTCTCTCTACAATAAAAAAATAAATAAATAGCCAGGTGTGGTAGCGCACACCTGTAGTTCCGGCTACTTGGAAGACTGAGGCAGAAGGACTGCCAGAGCCCAACAGGTCAACGCTGGGGTGGCCGTGAGTGTGCCACTGCACTCCAGCCTGGTTGACAGAGACTCCAACTCAAAAAAAAAGAAAGGTTTTCAGGAATTTACAGAATATGATGTTTATTGTGAGTGAGGGATATTTTCTACAGTAAGTATGAAGAAGCTTATCATCATATCACACCTTATAGAGTCTAACTGAACTCCTATTTCAGAACTGTCTCATCAATACCATTATCTGAGTAGATGAAATCATTAAAAATTGCAACATTTTCATTTATTTTCATTTAACCGTCATTAATATACTTCTCAATATGTGCCAGGCACTATTCAGCACTTTCATCACTTGACTTACTTTTTATTCTGAAACACAAATTTAAAAAGCCATCAATAGCTTTCCTTATTTTAACCAGATCAAATCCTGACTGCAGCATCAAAGTTCCACGTTCTCTGCTGCTCAACCTGAAGACACAATCGAGTCATCCAGCTGTGCCAGTACTAAAGATGAATCAGTTCTGAGTTGGCCTCATGACGCATTCTTAAGATAGCATTTCTTACAACAGATGTTCATCTACATGGAATCAGTGCCTTTCTGCTCAGTTTTTTGAAGCTAACAGCTAAAGTGCAAATTTTCACATCCTCAATGATATCTTCCAATAATTTTCCCTAAACACGCCAGTGAATTTGAATTCCACGTACTTGAGCAAAGTGCTAATTATACACATAGAAAGACCCTCGCAACATGCTACAGAAGCAACACCCACCTGCTTTGTCTGGAACAGCAGCCGCGCCCTTCCCCACAGCGGCTGTCATGGGCTGAGGCAGAACTGTGGCAGTGGGGGTTGTGGGGCCTTCTCTGCCAATGCCCGGGTTCTGAATGCCGCTCTCTGCGCTCACATTAGCGGTTCGCTTGCTCGCTGCTATGGGCTTACTGGAACAACCTTTACTTAAACTTGACTGAAACGTAATGGAATATTTAAAAGCTCAGGTTACTAATGTCTCATAACATGCATTAATATTTTATAAATTCTCTGTTAGAATAAAAAATATATTTTTTCTTTTACAAATCTTAAGCTTGCAGGGGGTTCTGTTTCCCTGTGAACCAAAGATGTCTTTTAAAATATTTTTGGAGAGAGAATTACATGCAAAAAAAAAGATTTACAACCAAGTATCAAATGGCTTTGTATTAAAATTATACATTATTATACTATTATATTATATACAATCATTTTTATATAATTATCAAACAAAACCACAATGTGCTCATTCACAAGATATAATTTCCATATTCTGAGTTAGATTTATTTAATAAAATGAAAAGTGCTGAAAAGAAACACTCTCACCTTCGCAAGAGCAGTGGAGTACTGAAATGCTATACACTGCACAGATGTCTTGTGAGCACTGAGGGCTTTAACAGGCGATTTCAGCATCCTTAAGTCATACTGATATATTTTCCCCCGAGAAGATCCAATTGCCAAAGTGGCTCCATCAGGCATGAAATCTACTGCAGTTAAAGGTGCATCAGCCACCAGCGTCTTCACCAGTCTTTGGAAAGGAGAACGAGGCATGAGCAGAGACTCGGTGCATGCAGGTAGGGAAGCGTCTATGACATGTACATGCTACATCCCAAAATCAGAGTTATGTAGAGTCGGGCGAGGAGCATACACATCCCACATTTATATCTATCTATCTATATCTGAGTCAGGGTCTCACTCTGTTGCCCAGGCTGGAGTGCAGTGGCATGATCACAGCTCACTGCAGCCTCGGCCTCCTGGGCTCAGGCAATCCTTCTATCTCAGCCTCCCAAGTAGCTGGTACTACAGGCACAAGTCACCATGCTCAGCTAATTTGTGTTGTTTGTTTGTTTTTGTAGAGATGAGGTCTCCCTATGTTGCCCAGGCTGGTCTCAAATTCCTGGGCTCAAGTGATCCTCTAGCCCCAGCATCCCAAAGTGCGAGGATTACAGATGTAAGCCACCATGCCTGGCTAAAGTAGAATTTCAGAATTTGATTGAGAGACATTCCTAATACAAGGGCATGTAAAGAACTGACATTCTACACTACTTTCCTACTCACTTCTAATAGACACATTCCACATCTTCTAGAAGCAGCACCCATTTGTTTGAGTAATGAAGACTGTGGCAGTGAATGTCACTCCACAAGCAGGAGCTCTAGCCTCAGGGCTGAGGTGGTTTGCATATCCATGTTCCATTTGCTGAACCGCTCCAGCCTCAAGAGGACTGTGACCTTTCACTGGAGCAGCTGCTACTCTGTTCTCAGCTCTGTGTCTCTTGATCAAAAAGCTAAGAGAGCAGAGCTTAAAGCTCCATCTTCAAGAGGGGAACATGGAACTTCAGAAACCGATCTATGGAGCTGAGCTCCCTGTGGGTGCGTCTGGCACAAGAAAGAACAGTTGGCTGACTCTTAGGACTCTCTGGAAGTCAGTTCAAAAAAGAAGAGAGCAAGTAAGTGATGGTAAAAATTCTATCATCTCAACAACTGACAGTGGGACCTTCTCAAGTGGCAGCATCAACATCTGCCACGATCTTCAGGTAGTCTTGGGCGCTCAAATACAACTGTGACACGCCTGCGGCTGTGTTCTGTTTTCATTTTTCAGCAGCTACAACTGAGGAAGAGGCACAATGGCCCAAATGCATGGAAGACCATGTACTCCCAGCTCTCCCTCAGTGTTTCTTCACAGGGGCACACAAGGGACATTAGCCATGTCTGGACAATTGAAGTGTGGCTGCTGGCACCCGGCAAGTAGAGGTCAGAGATGCTGCTGAACATCCTACACACCCAGGACAGCCCGGAACACAGAATGACCCACTGTTTCAAAATCCCATGCTGAATTGTTGCTTTAAAAGATATACATTCAGTTGTAATTTGAAAAAGAATAATATGCATGCTGAAATACAGATGTGAAATCATTAAGATCCCTGAGTTCCAGAAGTGCCCGAGATCATCGCTACACCCCCATCTTCTATTTTCTGCATGGGAAGAAAAAGACAAAGGCTGCCTTCCTAGACACCGCGCATGTACAGACTTTAGGATCCCTGGACCTTCATCAAAGTCTATGCAAATCACAAGTGTGTCTGTTAATGGGCTGACCATTTGTCACCAGACAGGAAGTGAGCATGTCACACTCACTTCTTGCTTGAGGTATCATAGAGGATGATTCTCTTATCCAAGCCTGTGGTTACAAACAGCAATTCATTGACAGGAGAGAAGCAGATGTCTGACGCTGGGGCCTTGTGGGTACTGCCGAAGTTGTGGTAAGGTCTCTGGCTATTCACGTCCCAGAGAGTTACTACTCCGTTATCCAAAACGCTGCCCAGCAAGGACTTCTTAAACAAGGAGTACTTCAGGTGCCGCACAGACTATCAGGACAAAAGAATGCATGTTACAGAACTACAGGCATTCACGAGGACATTTAATCTAAGCTACATAAACAATGGCCAACCAGACTAGTACAAGGGGTTTGGTATTTCTCTGTGTAAACGGTGATGGGTTTCAATCGTGACAACCACGTATCATTCAACGGACTGTGAGATGACCCTGAAACATACCAACAGTCTATTAATTCAACATTTGTCATAATTTTATTATCTTGGTGTATTGCTACCACAGCCTCCCATTTTCAAGGGAAAAACACAACACACCGAGATTGCCAACATTAATTCCTCAGTGTCAGAACACCCACCATAAACAAAAAGCCCACCACAGCCAAATCAGGAGCAAGTACACAGGAACTATGGAACACTGGGAGAGACCACTAATCCCAGCTCCTACTAGCTTCTGTATGAACTTTAGACATTTGCAACATTTGTTTGCTCTGAGCATCTAATGTGATGGTGGTTCAGCACCTGAAGCAACATTTAAAAATTAACTGAACCACAAAGGAGAAATGGCCAACACTGCAAACTAGGGTGGACTCAACCCACTGTTCCAACAGCACCAGCCTGAAGGTTCGACGGCCTTCCTCTAGACAACTAGCCCTGGAGCAGTGGAGACATTCTCTCTTGCAGAGGTCCAGTTTGAATAAGCAGGTCTTAGATTAAAACTAATTGAACTGTATCTGCATTTCTGCTGAAATTATCACTTTCGAATTTGAATTGATATTATCATTTACTATGCTGAGAACTAAATACTTCACATTTAAGCTAATTTTTCCCTGCAAATACATATTCTACTGACTTTTAACATTTTTCAAAATAACATGTATTAGCCACTCCCAAAAAATATATCTAAGAATAACACAAAATAAATTCTAAAATAAAGCAAAACGAGTACCAGTTACCAAGCACCTAAGATAGATAATTAATATGTTAACCCATTAAATTTGGCTAAAGAATAGAGAGAAGGTGTTGGTTTACACAGTTTTCATTTTTGTTGGGAAAAAGTACATCCATTAGAACAGACAAATCTTCCTCTGTACACATAAGAAAATAAGCTATATAAATCTCGATTCAATAAAAGACACAGAGCTCCTTTGTGAATTATAATTAGCATTTACAGAGTCATAGATCAACCTATGAAAACATAAGGCAAACATTGAAAAGATTTCTGCAGCACTTCATATAATGATTACTCTCCACATAATCTAAACTTGAAGTCAATGTACAAGAAAAATGTATTTTACTTATTTAAGACTAAAAAATAAGCAACAGAAAATCATAGATTTGGTAGATTCTTGAAGTCTGCAAAGTTCAACCTCTAAGTCACCGAAGGAATTTGCCTTAAAACTTCCTAAAATACTGTCATCCAAAATCTGCTTGAACATGGCAATGAGCAAGGAGCTTATTACTTTAAATATCAAAATGCTGGAAACAGTTAAACGCGTGCTCCTTGAGTAAATCTCAGCCTAAAGCCCACACACTGTTTCAGGTTGTTGGGCCCTGCACGGCCACCCTTTAAAAAACGGCTAACAGCAACCACACACGCTCCTCCCAGACACTCCTGGACTCAGTGCAGGCTCAGTCAACTCTGTGCGACTCAGGTTAAGCTACTTCAACCCTCCAGAGCCCAGGGCTCTCATTTACAAAACGGAAAACACTCCTGTCTGCCTGCAAGACTATCTGCAGATTATACAGCATTTCTGCAGAGCCAGGCACACAGCAGCTGTCCCCACGTCCTTGTCCACCTTCATATAAGTAACCACCATTCATACAACTTGTACACACATTTAAAAAAAAATCTTTAAATGCTCCCACTGACTTCTTAAAATGCTTCCCCTTTATTTCTCTGATAATATCAACAGAATTTCACCTCTGAACTCTTATTAAATCATCTCTTTAAAGAATCATTAAAATATGAGCTAATGATCCCTGACAAACAAGAGTGACTTCCTAGATTATATTTAAATGAATATGAACTTATTTTCGTACCAGTAGCATTTAACTTATTAAGCACCTATATTGTTCCAGATTAAACTATTTCTAAGAAAAAGAAAAATACTGTCAAGAAGCTTAAGAGGAAAAAGAAAATTCCAGCAACACTGTTTTCTTACAATACATGACTACTGTGTAAGAATGTGTGTGTTTGTGGAGGAGGGAGATTGTATCCATATATAAAATATACAACTCACTAGAGATGGAGGGTGGTTAAGCTTATTCTTCAAGAGCCAGACAGCCATTCAAGTTACAGATAATACATAAATGAAGAGCACAGCTGTGTTCCAATAAATTTTATTTATAAAATAAGTGGCTAGCCCACAGGTAACAGTTGCCAACCCCTACTACAGATAATTAGAAATTTTTTTAAAAATCACAAAAAAAGCAAAACGTCCATAACTCCACCATCCAGAGAAAAACTGGGTAACAGCCTATCCTTTAAGCATTTTTCTGTATATGTGGTGCTTGTGTGCATTAAGAGCATTCACAGAAAACCTAGGATCACACTTTATTATCATGAACAGCCATGTCATTAATGTTTTCTACTACCTACATGATTTTAATAGCTGGATAATATACAAATGCATGAGCATATCAATGTATCTAAATAATACAATGTCAGACATTTAGGCTACTTCCAATTCCAAGTACTCAATTATCATTTTTAAACACTGCAAACTTAAGAAAGAATTTGTTTTCATTGTTCATGCTTTCAAAGTTCTTGGTTGAAAAGTACAAGACGACCATTTGTCTTTCTGCGTTTGTGATTGGTCCATTTATCTACTTTGCCTATTTTCTACTGAGCAATTAAGATTTTTTAAAGACACATTTGCAACTGCTCTTAATATAAGAAGAACATTCATACTCTCACAGGCCGTACATACACTCCCCATTTCCTTTCAATTTTGTTAAATTTTTTGTCTTGCTTTTCGTCAGAGCTTTCAAATTTGTACGTACTTAAATGTATCAAACTCGTCCCCAGTGACTCGTGGCTTTGCTCTTATGGTTAGGAAAGCCTTCTCTTTGCACAGATAAAAACATACATTCAGATAATGCTTTATGCTTCCTAGACACTATAAAGCTATTAGAAAATAACGTGCCTGTCTCTCTCTCTCTCTCTCACACACAATCACACACACACACACACACACACGGTATCCTCTGGGGCCCCATGCCCTCCCTCTCCAGTCCTGGCTGCCTGAGTGCTCGCTCCCACCCAGCTGAGCCCTGCACAGTCATCCAGCCTCCATCCCCCCTGGCTCATCAGCCATCTTTCACGCCACTGCAGCAGAAACATCTCTCAAAGCGGAAATCTCAACGTAGTCCTCTCTTGCTTAAAGTCCTTTCATCTGGAGGACTCTGAGAAGACAGGGGTTACGGTGGTGACGGAGCTGCCGGGTTTCCTTGTAGGTTTCCTTGTGGGCATGTGTGTACTTACACGAGGAGAAAAGCAGGCCTGAGACTGCCAGCCTCTAGCAAGTCCTCCTTCCAAGGCTGGCCCTTGGCCGGCACCAGGGAACCTGGGTTTGGGAGGTTCTCGCTGCCCTAACTGACAAGAGTGGCTCACTGCACCCACTCTTTGTGCAAACCACGGCTTATGGCAGAACCATAGCTGAACGCGTGCGTTCCTCCTGGCAGGCTGCAATTTTAGCAAGTGCCAGGTGGAGGTGCCCAGGTAGCCAGGTCCCAGGAAAAACCCTGGGCAGTGAGTTGCCAGGGAGAGTCCCTGTAGACAGCACATCATACATGCTGTCTCAACTTGATGCTAAGGGGATCAGGCGCACCTCCCCACGAAGAGAAGACTTTTGATGTGCGCACCTGGTTTCCAACAGACTTCTCTCCACGTGCCTTGCTCACAGAGATCTGCATCCTTTCTCTGCAACAAACCAGAGCTATGAATCTGACCCTGCACTGAGTTCCGTGAGTCCTTCTAGTGAGTGACTGAACCTGGCCTTGAAGACCCCCAACACAGCGGGGGGTGGGGGTGGCTACAAACAGACAGTAAACTAGGTAGCGAAACTAAATCCCATGGGCAACCATCGAAACAAAGCTAGATGATCTGGTATTCCATGGACCCCAACACAACACCAACAGCCAGCAGCCACAGGGCATTCACGGTGTTCAAGTCTGTGTAGAAGCAGAAGGGTCTGAAGTCAATCTGTGGACGGGAGCCCTGAACAGCCCGGAGGCATCCACAGAAGAGCACGGTGCCATCTTGGACACCAGTTGAAACCAGGAACGCCACTGCAGAGGTCTGCGCAGAGGTCTGGAGAGCAGGAGCAGGCAGGCCCAACACATTCCCAAACCTAACCAGCCAAGGTGCGTCCCACACCGAGGAGACACTGCGCGAAGTGGATGCTGAAGACACAGGGTCACACACAGGTGGGAGAGAGGACAGAGTCAGGAACCTGGGGAGCAAGTGGCCATTTAAAAAAAGCTATCTGAAAACAAGAGAGCTCTGGGAAGTCAGAAAAGACACACTGTTGCCTTCTGCATCCAGAGGCTCAAGGAAATCAATCTCACAGATACACCCCACACAAAGCTACTATGAAAACAAAGAGCACAAGTAGAAAGACATTCTCAACAGATTATCAAAAAGACAATAAAACCAGACATTAAAAAACATAAACAAGAATTTGAAAGCTTAGAAATGAGATCTCAAACTTGAGAAAGAATTAAAATGTTAAAAGTCTCTTAAAAAATGAAGGTTAATTTAGAAGGAAGACAAGAATTAATAATGCCAATGCCTTAAAGATAGGTTAACAAGGAACTTTTAAAAATCAAATGTGGTACATATACACAATGAAATATGACACAGCCATAAAGAAGGACAAAATTAAGAACTTCACAGCAACTTGGATGGACTTAGAGGCTATAATACTGATTGATCTATCACAGAAACAAAGAACCGAGTACCATGTGTTCTCACTCATAAGTGGACCTTGAGAAACTATGGTAATACTATAAGAAAGGGACTGGCAGTAGTG